CCTGTATGTGAAAGTTTCAAACGGACACGTGAAGGTGATCTTCTCTTGATTCTCTGGTGCGATTGCAATTTGAAAATACCCTGAAAATTCGTCCAAAAAATAATAGTGAGCTCGATAAGCTAACCGCTCAATCATTTGGTCAATAAAAGGAAGGGAAAAATGGTCATTTTTCGTGACAGCGTTTAATTTTTGGTAGTTGATACATTGCCGCCATTCGGTGGGTTTGCGTACTGGCATAAGTTCACCCTTCTGATTGGCCTCCACTGTCATTCCTGTATCGGGTTACCTGTATCGGGCTCACCCACGGACTGTTTGATATTGCGTATACGATTCCCACATCTAGCAATTTTAGTATTTTTTTTTCACCATTTCCATCATGAGAGGATTGAGACTCCTTTGAACTTGCTTTACAGGTTTGGCATCCTTTTCGAGCCTTATTCGGTACATACACATAGAGGGACTGATCTCTTCAATGTCAGCGATGGTCCATCCTATTGCCTGCTTATACTCTCTAAGAACTCGGATTAACTTGTCTTCTTGGGTTTCCAACAGTCTCGCCAAGATAATCACCGGAAGCATTTCTTTCTCGCCCAAGTATGCATATTTCAAGTGTTTCGGTAAAGGTTTTAATTCAAGTACAGGTGCCTGCACCACAGACGATAGTACCTTTTGGTAAGATTCGGGTATAAAAATAGGTGTGAGCTCATACATTGTCGTCGTGGTTGGCAACGAGTGTAACGCTCCAATCATACACTTCAGATCTTCACTCAATTCTACCTCATGAATTGTGTCTAACTCGAAGTGTTTGGTTAGAACAACTTCTAATTCATTCCTACCCACAAATTCAAATACTACCTGCACCGCAGGATCAATAGCACTTACGAAAAAAATAGAGTTAAAATTAAAGTTCGAGAGGTATTTCATGGTTTCAAAAATATTGAAATGAACAATTTTTTCATTAAATTTTATGAACAAGATACCCTTATTAACATCAATTTTTGTCTGGATTGTGCTAAAAAGGGTGTACCTAACAACAAAGACGAGGGGTCGAGGGAATGATCATCATCTATGTCAAGTACATAAAAATTATATGGGAATACCAATTCTTTAATTTTAACCAACACATTCTTGGCCAACCCATCAGTATATTCATTTGTTCGGTCAGTTAATCGAATTATTATCTCAGTTTCTTTTAACGGACCAAGGTTCAAAGAAGTATAGATAGATTTAGGCATTACATTGATTGATACTCCTAAGTCCAATATGGCATTTCTAATCAAAGTATTACCTATCCTACAGGGGATAGTCAACATACCTGGATCTCTACATTTCAGTGGAAGATTCTTCTATAGAATCGCTGACACATTCTCCCCCACAATGACTCTTTCATCTCCCCTCAATCTTCTTCGTTGACGCACAAATCTTTCAAAAACGTCGCGTACTTTGGCACTTGTTTGATTGCATCTAGTAGGGGAATGTTGATTTCTACCTTGCGGAATACCTCCAAGATCTCTTTCTCTTTGTCCTGCTTTTTCGATTTCTCCAACCTGCTAGGAATGGGAGGCGAATTAGTTTTAACTTCAATGATTAGGTCAGGGAGTACCCCTGGATTTTTACTGTTTCTATCCTCCTCCTCAAGCTCTTTCTCGATCTTTTCTTCATCCTTGTCCTTTGGAGTCACGAGTTCGGATCTCTGAATTTTCTTCCCGTTCGTTAAGGTCATTGCACTTACATTCTTTGGATTCAGTTCAAGTTGAGATGGCAATTTTTCGTGAACTTGGGATTCCAGACGGTTGATTGATATTGCCATCTGACTTATCTGAATCTGCATTGCTTGCATCTGATCCATTTGATTCCTTAAATTTTATAAGTCAGATTCTGTCTTTTGTTGACATTGCATATTACTAACAATTAATTGTTTCATCATTTTTTCTAAAGACAGGCTTGAACTTGGAGGAGGTGGTGGCTGCCGAGGTTAGTATTGCTGTTGATATCTTTGCTGTCTATTCAATGCAAAATTTGATTGTCTATTTCCTCCATAACTGAGGTTAGGGTGATCTCTCCAACCCGGATTATACATGTTCGAATACAGATCATATGGCTTTCTTGGCGCAGGCGCATGACCAACCATGTTTACTTGCTCTACACTTTCTTCTTAAATCATTGGATACATCTCTGTAGAATGGCCCATGGCAGTACAAATCCCACATACCTTGGCTTGTGGTGCATTTTCTACAGTCAATTGCCTAACAAAAGATGTTAACTCGAATAGTTGTTACAGGATAGAGGATGTTTCTATCTCATTTACTCTATGTATCAGGACATCCTCCCTTGTGCCAAACTGCTGCGAGCTCTCGGCTATCCCTTTAATCAACTCCCATGCTTCTCGAGAAGTTTTGTTTACCAACGCCCTTTCACTTGCAGTATCAATAATACTCATGTCTCTAAAAAGTAGCCCCTCGTAAAAGTACTGGATAAGCAATTGCTCGCTTATTTGGTGTTAAGGGTATTTGATGCATAACTTCTTGAATCTCTCCCAGTAATCATAGAGCGACTCCCCTGGATATTGTTTGATAGCGCATATCTCCTTCCTCAGACTTGTAGCTCGAGACGTAAAAAAAAAAATTTTCAATAATTTTTTTTTAGCTGCTCCCAAGTGGTGATACTACCTGGAGGTAGGTAGTACAACTAGTCTTTTACTGAGTCCTTGAGAGAAAGGAAATGCCCTCATTTTTATTTGTTCTTCCGTAATTTTCGAAAGTTTCATACTGTTACAAATAATATCAAACTCTTGAAAGTGCTTATGAGACTCATCACCTGATAAATCATGAAAAGATGGTAAAAGATAATTAGACCAGATTTTAACTCAAACAGGGTGTTATCATTTAAATTTGAAAAAGTAATGCATAAGCGCTGCTGATTTAAATTAGGAGCAGCCAGATCCTTCAATGTTCATGCATTAGCCATAGTGATTTCTTCTCGATTCGGGTCACTCGAAATATCATCAAGCGAACTTGTTAATTCAACTTCTGGATCAAGTCTCCGAGATGCAGCACTAGATTGCTCTTCCCTGAGCTGTCTGGTCTCTTTTCGCTTTTGGCACGTGATCTTCTCTACTTCAGGATCAAAAATTAATTTACCCGTACGAGAAGAACGAGGCATAAACTAGAAAAATACTAGAAAATTAAAACGAGAATTAACTTAAAAAGAAACAAATTAACTAACGACAGTCCTTGACAACGGCGCCAAAAATTGACAGGTGTCGAGTTTGTGCAATAATAAATACCTGTTCAAATAAAGTATCGATTTTGTATACAGTGGTAAGCAGGGTCGAATCTACAGGAATTAGGGGTAATTCGTTTCTTCTAGAATTCAAGATATGGGGAATTTTATAAGAATTAACAATAAGCTATGCTACTCGAATATTTCAATTAAATAAAAATTAAATGACAAATTATAAAAATTCAAATGGTATTGGACAAACTCTAGTCAAGAAGCAACTTCGAAATGGTTTTCCTAATTGATCATCGATGTAAGAATAATTCCACTTATAAACTGATAAATAAATTATAATTGTCAAACAAGCGATGACAATCAATTTCTCCTTAATTATCGATAGCCAAGGTACGACCGTTAGCTACTACCCTAATTACGAAATAACTCTAGGTACGACCGTAAAATTCAATTCCCCAATTACCTTACGAATTAGAGAAATCTGTTCTAATTAAACAATACACTACGAGGGTTGTTTCAAATTAGTCCGTATATTTCTCTGACACAAACCAATCATGCCAGTTTTCACTAGTTTTGAATAATTAAACAATTACAGATTTAATTACTCTAATTGGTTTTAGGTTATCGAATTAGTCTAAGATCTGGGCCCCGGATAATTGAATAATATGACAACCATAAAAATATAAAGTAGGAAATATACGAATACCAGAAAATAATAGGAAAAAGTAAATTAGTTTGATCTCACAATTTAAGTTGAACCAAGTCCTCCGTTGTTCATTGATTAGAAATAAAAGTTTAGTTCATCTCTATTGAGAGAATCCCATGCAAAATTGCTGAAGTAATTGTCGCGTACATCGTCTCTCAATTGAAATGAAAAATCCGATGGAATAAGAATAAGGAAAGATTACAAAGTCAAAAGAATGACTAATGTTTCTTCCTTGGGATCAGTCATATGATGGAATCAGAAAATAGGAATTAGCCAAAAGCCAAAAGCTAGATTCCTCCTATTTTCTTATGGCGGCTGGCTCTCCAAAAGCTAAGTGGAGTCCTCATCTCAATTGACTTCTGTCTCCTATTCAGTCGCAGCCAACAAACTAGGAAATCTCCTAATTGGCAAGCTTCCTTTTTGTGCTAAACTACCTTTATCAATTCAAATCAAACAATCAACTAATGGAATGTTTGCGGCCCCATGTTGCACTTCCAATTGGCAGTTGGTGTTACGCGCCTTTCTCGCATTTTCTGGACACGTTGAGACCTGACTTGACGCTACTACGCCAAACAGCAATTGTAGTGGAAAATTTGCACCTTTTTACCACATTTTATTCCAACTCCCTGCAATCAATACAAATTTTCAAAAGTGAGTAGAATCCACCAATTAATACACATTTGGTAAGATAATATGAGAGAATTAATTATAAAATAAATGACAAAGTTGTGACCTATCATTTATGCCAAATAAAAGTCTTCCCATACACATGATATCAGCATGGTACTACATATCTATAAACAAACATTTACATATCCGATTTCTCTAGTTTTTTTTGGCAAGAGAGATGATAAGACTATTAAAGAAGCCTTTGCCCATGCGGAGAAGCTTTGCTGCATTCTTCGCAAACCTATGGAATATGTCAGGTATAATAGCTTCTCCAAAATGACTTGCGAGTATGGGTTCGTAAACTCTGTTTGTTTTAGATATCAACGTGTCATAGCATGAGTTAGTACTACTCTGTTTGTGTGTTAAGAGAGAGATAGAGAGACTGACTGACTTGGTAAGATGAATTCTTTGCGTAGCTTGTGTCACCTTCGCCCCTATTCATATGCAGTATTTGTTGGAGTTCCATTTCTGATCTCTAGTTCTTAATCGAATCGGGACTGCTGAAGAAAGTGTCGGCTAATGATTGATAGTAGAACGAAGTTTGGGACTTAAATAGCGGAATTTTCTTAAATTCGTGTACTAACTGACTACATACGGGTGTGAAGTGCATTTGAATTGACAGAAAATCTGTCAACTGGTCAAAGAGAAAGCCACTTCACACACATACGTAGCTAGTTAGTAGATGGATTAATGAAAGAGAAAGGCACAGCCAATGAGAACGAGACACGAAGTAAATGGTATGCATAACACTGAAAAGTTGTATCACTTCTTCCATCCCATTAAAAGTATAATAACTTCTATTTTGAAACATTCCAAAATGTTTGTCAAATTAAAGTCACTTTTGATTTTTTTTTCAATGTTGTCCTCATCTTTATTGATATTTTATACTAAATTCAAATTTAAAATTTGAATTTTTAAAGGTAATTGTGGAAACAAATCCTCTAACAACACTATCAATCCACTATTATTAAAAAATTGAAATCCTAAAATGCAACAAACATTTCGGAGAGAGTATAATTCAAAGAATTATATGTAAAACGTAGGCACGACATGTTTTGTCCGTGTGAAACATGACACATAACGTCCAAGCTGAAATGAAAACGTGTTAGTAGCGTAGAGCACTAATAGGTAGTGTTTTGAAACCTAAGTTGAACCGGCCGGTTCAACCGGTTAGATCGCGAACGAATCACGGCTCCAGTCCTAGCACCTTCCACATACATCATTTTCACACTTTTTTAGGGACATTTGAGGGGATGTTGCAGCAGCATTTTGGGAACTCAAAGACTGTTTTTCTTGATTCTCTGGCAACAAGGAACAACTAGAAATATAGGAGTAAAGACTTAGTTTTCTTGAACATATTTCTCTAGTTTTTTTAGTTAGCTTAGTCTTTCATTTTTCTTGGAGAATTCTTGGAGAACTCTTGATGTGCTCAATATTTTGAAGACAATGAAGATAATGGAAATTGAAAACTCTTGTTTCTTCAATTGAATGAGTAATTTTTTCACTCCTTCTTTCTTTATTGTTGGATTTATGTTTGGTTGCTGATAGGTTGCATTGTTGTTATTAATTTTGTGATTATTTCCTCTTTGATTTTAGCCAAATATTGTATTAATGGATAAATTCTACTCATATTTGCTAATTTGTGCTAATTGTAGGAATATGACGAGAAAAGGAGTAAAAAGTGGTTTAATGAAAATTTTTAGCCAGTTCTTTGTGGGCTCGTTCAAATCCTACTGTCAAGTCTCAGAGACTCGAGATTTTACTACGAGTGGTAGTATCCCAGTTCGAATGGAAGTTCTTAGAAGCATGTTTCCTTATCTGAGATAATTGGTCTTTCTTTTTGTATTAAGAAACAAATGGGTTATCTTTTGTCAATTTAGGGAATCTCCTTTTCTTTGGAGAAAATTAGGAAGTATTAGTAGTTTAGGAAAGTAAGAGACGTGAGAACAAGGAAGTCTTCTTGTTTGCGTTGGCTTTAAAAAGTCATAGTTGTTTTGAGCGAAAGGGGTGATTAGTCTCGGCAGTCGGCACCAAGGAAGAACGAAGAGTTTTTCTCTTCGTCTTTTCTTTTCTATTGCTCCTTCTGTTGTCGAACCTCAGGCAACTTTCGTCAATGAAATTGCGTGAGTTATTTTCAATGGAAAGCAACTAATCCCTTTTTCTAGTCAATGGTCAATTTGAAGATACGGTTTCAAATATCTATGAGATTGAATTATTTTTATTTATTTCTTTTATTCATTAGTATTCGTACGTCTTCTGTTTCAACTTCTTATGATTATTTTGTTATGTGAATGTCAAGGATTCGATAATTGAATTAATCTAGTAATCTACTGCCATATTAATCAATTAAATTCATAATTTTTTGATTGATTAATACTAGTGGCAACTAGCGTGATTTGTCCCATGTTAGGGAAACATATAATCTAACTTCAATGAACCTTCATAGTATGTCTGTTAGTTAGGATTGAGCTTTTCTAATTTTTAATGCAATTGGAGAATTAAATCCTATGGTCATATCTAGAATTGTTTCTTGGTTAGGAAAATAGTTAATGGTCGTACCTTGATTATCGATAAACTAAGGAAAAGTTGGCTATCAGAACTTGTTGATGGTTGTAACAAATCTATTAATGAGTGATTAAATCATCCTTGCATCAATGATTAATTGTATGAATCGTATCTAAAAAGTTGTACCTTTGATTATAGTCATATTTATTGTTGATTTAATTCTTATTTATTTCGTTAATTGTTTCTTTAATTGGTTAGTGAATTATTTCTAAATTGTCTAAAAATTCCCCTTACTTTAGGCTCTAAAAAGAGAAAATTTTTTCAATCCCTGTGAATTCGCTCCTACTCATCGCTATATACAAAAATTTGTATTTTATTTGAATAAATATTTATTATTGTACAGGCTCGACATGTCTCAGTTGCATTAAAGCCTTAAGCTTTTCTATTCTATCTACTATGTCTAAGTAAGATAAATATTATTATTCGGATTAATCTTTCCTATACTGACAGTGTATACACTATTAGCATTGGATAAATGATAACTATACAAATTTTGAATTTGAATTTGAAATTCAATTTTTGCACACATGTCATGAATCAAACGGTGATAGTGTATACACTGTCAGTATATTTAAGATATATTCTTATTGTTTTAGGGTGGATGAATCTATTTGTACTTTAATTATGGATTAATTGTGGTTACCAATTGCCATATCTTGCATTTGCAAGTTCACTTACTTTGTGCATGAACATTTGTGAATGCTTAATCATAATTTACAATACATGTTAGTTATTATTAATATATGTGAGTAGTTAACAATGATGGAAATAGAATAAGCAGAATCTAAAGAACACGAAAGTAATCATACACTTTGGTGGATTTTCTTCACATTTCTTCGTTTTAATGAAACCTCCACCTGTGATTTCACCATTAAAATTAGGGATGTACAAAATCAAAAAATTTCGATTTATCGACTGAATTCGAATTGAATTTGGAATTTTCAAAATTGGTAAATCAGAAATAGGAATTGAATTCGGGTTTTTCTAATTCATATATTTCGAATTTCGTTCAAATTCGGTAATGGGGTTTTTCAAATCTAAATTTTCGATTTCGAATTCACAATTCGAAATCGAAAATCAAATACCGATTTCGATTTCAAATTTGTTTTTAATATATATATTTTATATATGTAATATATAAATTATATTATATAATATTATATAAAATTTATATTATATAATATTATAAAATTTATATTATTTAATAAAGTTTATATTATATAATAATATATAAAATTTTTCGAATTTGATGAAATCAAAATTTACCAAATTCTAAATTAAATTCGGTATGAATTTGAAATCGAAATCGAAATCGAATTGTTAGACCCGAAGACAAGCTAAGAGGGGAGGTGAATTAGGTTATTTAAAAAATTAATCAGGTTGTGAGACACCTTTTTGTTCAATATGAAATTTACCCTCTTTTCTAGGAAATCACACAATAAATCAATCAATGAATGAACAATATCACTTGAGAGAAGTAGAAAAGATAAGCAATTTAAGAATCACAACATAACAATAAGTAAATGAGAAGAAAGGAATTGCAAACCAATTGACTACTAATGTGAGGACTTGTAAAATTCCTGATATTTTTCTTAAAAATTCCCTTTATTTAAAAATTATTACTTTATAATAGCCTTACTATCTAATCACCCCACAATAAGTGCAAATGAACATAGAATTAAGGGTTTTCCCTTTTCGTTTTCAAGTTATCGCAAATTAGGATTTTTACACCTTTTCGTACTGTGACTATTCGGTACGGAGTGTGTATCAAATTTGATAATTAAGAGTGAGTTTTAGATGATATTAAGTGTGTGCTTAGAAGTGATAATAATAAGTTAGTGAATTGTAAGATAAAACCCTAGTTTACGCGATTTAAGACGGGTATCGTTCACTACCGATTGAATACACCACTTGACCACCACTTTCTTACCATGAAACATCATTGAAATTAGTGCAAAATATCAGCCCCTTTCTTAGCTTATAGTGGCCGAAATTGTTGACTAGAAAAACACAAGGAAAAGAAAAAATTTGAGAGTTAATCTTATGGCGACAAGTGGCGGTCATCCAAAGGTTGTTGACCAACCAATTTCTTCCATATTTATCACCAAAAATCACTCACAATGCTCCTCATTTCAGCATTCCAGCCGTGAGCTTTGAGGGAGAGAGAGCAAGAGGAAGAAAACTCCATTTCATCTTGAGGTTAATCCATTTGAATGAGAAATCAAGGAAACTAAACCGATTAACTTCTCAATTAGGAGCTTAGGAAGCTTGGGGAGCTAAGTTTTTCAAGGAAAGGTGAAGGACATCTCTTGCAAGCCTTTTATTGAGGTATTATGGCTGTTCATCTTCCTCCTTTCCCTTAGTCTTGTCGAAATTATGTAGTAACTTGTATTCTTGCCTTGTGATACCTAGTTAAGGGGTTTTGATGCTTGTGGTGCTGAAATTTTGAGTTAAGGTTTTGAATGGTTCACTTATATTTCTTGTTGTTTGGATGGTATATGATGTATATAATCTTGTATAGGAAGTTGTAGTGGTGGTTTAAGCTAGAAAGGTGAAGTTTACACTTTAAAATCACTGAATTCCAGATTTGGGTTTTCATCTTACCCTGTTCTGATCGGTTCTGTTTGGCCATGATGGAGGTCGAATTAGACTTAGCTCAAACCATAAAAGTTGTAGAAAATGATGTTTTATAGCTGCCTACGAAATTTCAACTCAATCCGAGCACTGTAACATGTGAAAAGATAAAAATACCCTTGACTGCCATAGGTAGATCTCTGTGGATAGTTTTGACATTTCACCATTCTGGCCCCATTTTTTCCATCTTGATCCGTATTGAATTAGCATTTGGCTAAAACACAAAAGTTGTAGTACTATATTTTAGCTTTCCAACGCCTCTGAAAA